TCAATACAAACTGAGAATAATTGATTCTTAGTAATCTAAGACAAAGATAAGGGAAGTTTCTTTTGTGCTATACATTATTTAAAAAAAACAAAACAAACCAAACAAACCCAAGTTGAGCTGTTCAGTCAGAGAAACCAGGCTTAAAATCCTAATTAGCTGGGGAAAAGGATTTCTATTTTTGTTTCCACAGAAAATGAAAAGATGTGGATTCCTTCCAGACTAATGTGGTTTGATCAAGCCAGACTGCCTGAAACAGAATACAAGGTGATCCTACATTCAAAACAGCTGGACAAAGCAGCCTTACAGACCATAGCCAGGATTTCTGAATCTTCTTCGAATTCCCCATGACAGCGCCCCTTACCAGCAGGAAGTAGTATGGAAAGAACAACGCCCAAATTCCCAAATATTGTCTATAAATGTTTGTTTTCATTTAAATGGACTTTGTTATATAAAATAAATTAATTAAATAAATAAATCCTAATTAGCTTGTCATTGATTAGACTGTGAACAGGTGACTCCTCTTCTGTGTCTCTATGTCCTTGACTATACAATCAACTCTATACAGTGATATTTTGAATGAAATATAATCCAAATGTAAAACCTCTAGTACAGAGCTTGAAACATAGGGGGCACAGAGAAAATACCTGCTCTTTCTTCTTTATACCTCCTTCACTCATTTTCTATGAGTACCCACAGGCTTCGGAGTTCTATGGTATTAAATTCTGTTATTAATTCAGGATAGCAGAGCATGTGCAAGAACCAAGCAGCATTTTGCCCTTGCTTACACAGAGGGAGAAACTGTCCATGAGCTAAGATTTTGAGACCAACAAAAGGGATACTCAGGCTCACTTCATGTGACACTGAAACAGTTCTTTGGTCCCTCTGTCAAGAACATGGAACAAGGAGCTAAGGCTCAATGGTTTAGAGTACTTGTTGTTCTTGCAGAGGACCCAGGTTTGATTCCTAACACCCACATGGTGGCTCACCATGATCCCTAACTCTAGTTCCAGAGGATCTGATGCTCTCTGAGGGCACCAAGCATGTATGTGGTGTATATACATACATACATACATACATATATACATACATACAGGCAAAATGCTTACACATAAAATGAACAGATCTAAATTTTTAAAGAATATAGAACAAGTACATGTCACAAATGAAATTATTATTGAAAACAAATTAGAAAATAATTTACTACAAATAGCCAAGCTGAACATAACTTACATACTCTGTAACCCAGCTTCAACCTTTGTATTTTATACCCTGGGAAGTCTTCAAATATATTCCAAGAATATAATAACAGTTGAGTATTTAAATTTGCTACATTCATAAAATGGGATATTATAAATCAGTAAGTACAAACAAAAAGTTGCTGCATGAAACATTATGAATCAATTTTAAAATTAGTACTGAGCAAAAATAAGAAATAGAACTGGGTGTGGTGGTGCATCCCTTTAATCCCAGTACTCAGGAGGCAGATGCAAGTGAATCTCTGTGAGTTCCAGGACAGCCTGATCTACATGGGTTCCAGGACAGTCAGGGCTGTGTAAAGAAACACTGTCTCAAAAAACAGATAGATAGATAGATAGATAGATAGATAGATAGATAGATAGATAGATAGATTAAAACCAAAAAATGAATACATAGGTTTCGAATTTAAAATAAAAAATAGACAATGCGGCAGAGTGATGGTGGTGGGAACCTTTAATCCTAGCATCGGGAGGCAGAGGCAGGAGGATCTCTGTGGGCTACACATCCGAGTTCCAAAACAACCAGAGCTCCACAGAGAAACCTGTCTCAGGAAAATAAATTAACAAGGCCAGGAGTGGTGACATATACCTTTAATTCCAGGATGCAGAGGCAGGCAGACCTCTGTGAGCCTTGTCTGTATAACAAGTTGCAAACCAGTCAGGACTACATAGTAGTAAGACCTTCTCTCAAAAAAAATTAAAAATAATACTAAATAAGAGGCAAAATCTGAATGAATATGAAGGTTGCCACAATTGTTCCCCATTGCTTTTTATTCCAGCCTAAAATTTTTAAACATTTATTGATTTTTGGGGAATTCACACCATGTACCCCAGTCCCACTCATTTCCAAGTTCTTCCATGTCTGCCCTCCACCCTTGTAACCTCTGCCCACAAATAAACTTTTTTTTAAAAATCTATGAGCTGTTGGATCATATGAAGGGGAAAGTCCTGTGGAACCAAAGCCAAAGTGTCTCGATGACTCAGGACAACAGTAGGACATCGGAGGAGTATCAGTGAATGTTCAGCACTGATGGTAGAGCAGAGACCAGAAGCCTTTAAACAGACCAACAACTCACTACAAGGAACATTGGCAAGTAAAGCTGTTTGGGACCAGCCTGAAATGTTTAATAAGACATTGCTTTTAAAACAAGCAAAACTCACCAGTAGTGATGGCATATGCCTTTAATCCCAGCACTCAGGAGGCAGAGGCAGGCAGAGCTCTGTGAATTTGAGGCCAGCCTGGACTACAGAGGGAGTCTGAAGACAGCCAGGGCTACAAAGAGAAACCTTGTCTCAAAAAAACCAAGAGGGGAGGGCGGGAGGCAAAACTTGGGGCTGGAGAGATGGCTCAGAGGTTAAGAGCACAACTGGCTGCTCTTCCAGAAGTCCTCAGTTCAATCCTCAGCAACCACATGGTGGCTCACAACCATCTATAATTTGATCTGGTGCCCTTTTCTGGATTGTATACATAATACATATTAAAAAAAAAAAAGACAAAACTCATTTGTGGTAATAAGAATTAAATAATAGTTATCCCTAAGCTGGGTACGGTAGCTTATCCCTGTAATGCTAGCACTGGGAAGACTAAGGAAACACTGTTGTAAGTTCAAATTTGACTCTGTCTCAAAAAATAAATTAATTAATTAAAAAGATTGGTGAGATGTTTTAACAGGTCAAGGTGCTTACTGCTGAGCCTAGCAACCTCTCAGTTCAACTCCCAGAATATACATGGTAGAAGGACTAAAGTAATGGAGGCCCAAAGAGATTAAGGAACTCCCATGAAATAATTCCATCAATTATAGGGCCTCAACTAGAACTTCAACAAAGGCCTCCTGGCTTCTGGTCAAGGGTTCCTCTTCCAGACCCTCTCTTGACTGTTCATTCCTTCTTACCTCCTCTCTTTCAGAGGTCAGAACTGGACACATCATTTCTACCACTATATATTTTGTCTTAATTTTAGTTTTGAGTTTCTGCTCCATGCTTCAACATTCAATTTGACTTCAGGGCATCCATGAATAGGTTCAGTCCCTTACATACTTACATACTTACAAACACACACACACACACACACACACACACACACACACACACACACACACACACACACACGGAAAATGTTCCTTAGGATTTATAAAAGAAAATTGCAATTTCATTTTTAGCCATGTGACAACAGGGTGAGAAATGAGATTTCAGCCGCACTTCTACCTTTGCTGCAAGGTGGCAGCACTGTCCCATGGCAGCTCCAGAAATGTTTAAACAGAAAAGCAGAGAGTGTATCAACACCACAAGGGAATAGAGAATCATGTGGTCATAGTAAGAGAATGGTCAACAAAAACTATGAAAACCCACGAAAGCAACAGAACCCTTCAATCTGCTCTCCTGCATTGTAAGAATCAAGCAACTGCAGCAGAGGAAGAGGAGCAGGCCCAGGGGACATTTGCTACTGGGCTTAATGCCCAGGGCTTCCTTTGTCTCCTCCCTATTTTATTCAACAAAATGCCCTTCAGGGATCTCCCTTCCACTAATGTTTCCCACCAAGACTTTGGGGCTCAGTTTGGCCAGATTTCAAGTGTATTGGTGTATCAGGACACAGGATGCTATTTAAACCATAATTTGATTAAAATATCACAAAGCCCCTTATGGAAGGTCTCTTTATGTGATTATCAAGCAAGAGTTTCAGCCTACAGAACCTTCTCATTCAAGCTAAGCCCATGTTGGCTTCAATGAAGCAAACAGCTGGTAGGAAGGCTGTGGAGGCTCTGGACATCAACAAATATCTAATTAGATGTTTTCTTCTTTATGATCTCACCTAGCTATACATTCAAGAAGTCTTTAGAATCAAGCATAGTGGTACACACCTGTAATCTCCGTTATTGGGAGACAGAAGCAAGAAAATCATGCATTCAAGGTCAGCCTGGAATACAAAACAAGTTTCAAGAAAGTTTGGGTTATATGGGAAGACCTCCTCTTTAAAAAAAAAAAAAAAAAAAAAAAAAAAAAAGTCCTTAAAATATAATACTAATTATATACTCTTTGCTAAGAGAATTCTGGGTGGAAAATTCAATAGCACCGACTACCAACTGCAGACAGTATCACTCATACACTATATGTATCTCTTTGGCACAACCTCTTTGACTCAGAAAGTCATTTTAATTATACTCATTCCATTATTCATGAGTGTGAAAATATACACAATTCCATAGGTATGCCTATGTGCATGTGAACTTCCAGTTAAAACTATAAATGAATTCCAGAGATCTTTTGATTGAGACTCAGTTTATACAGGGAAAAACTCAGATCCCAAGTAGCCAAGTAATTTCCCCAAGGTAGCAAAACAGCCTTGAACTAGAACTCAGTTCTACTTTTTCCTGAAGTCCAGTGTTCTCCCCAGCATAAGGCACTGACTCATTCAGTCCTAGTTTCTTCCTCTCTCCTAGAAATCGTACCTCTCAATTGGTATCTCTTAATGTTGGCTTGCATATCTATGTGACTCCATCAGAAAGCACACCTATGAATGAGTACGTGTCTATTTGCAAGTATTTATAAAGCATATTTTCATGTGTTTATGCCCTTTCTGTTAGGGAAAGCTCTAGGTAATGACAGTTCTCAAAGTTGGCATCAGCAGTGAAGTCGGGGCAGACCTTCAAAGTCAATGATTAATAAGCAGATTTGGCTCTTTCTCCAATCAACTGTATTCCTGGGTCTTTGGGAAACAAGGCAAAATCGTCAGGGTAGAACCAGATAGTCAGAGTGAAACTTGGTTCCAGGACAGTAAACACAACGAAGGGGCAAGGCTACAAGGAGCCATGGCGGAGTAACAGTGGGCTGTAGGCAATAAGTGCTCATGAGCTCAGGTTGGCATGGATACCATCTTAGTCTTCAGTCTAATCATTGCATCCTATGATTCCAACAAGAGCGGTAAGTATTTCTCTAAATTAATAGGTTGGAACATCCAAAAGGAATCCTAGAAAGCATATGGAGCCTCTTCTATCAAATAAGGATATAGCCAATACCCAACAAGTTGTACTTTGTAAAATTAACCCTTACATATGATCATTAATCCCAAAGAGACATCTGTTTCATGAGAAGTCTCCAGGTAACATGGTGCCTTTTTTCCCCTGACATGGTCAGTCAGCTTTCATTGTGAGATAGTATCACAGTTTTGTAATTAGCCTCACCTTAGGCTCTCAAATGCATAACCCCTTGTAAGATGTTGCTTTCATTTTTAAGGTGGTATACTCAAATAGTTTAAACGGAGACGTTAATGGGGGGAGAGCTAGGAGAAAGGTGATATGGGGGTGGCATGGTACTGTTTGTTACTCTTTGGTAATCGTTGATTGACTTCAGTATTTTGTTTGTTTTGTGCTGAGGCTTGAAAGCCAGCCTCAGGATACTTGGCAAGTGCTCAACCACTGACTGAGCTCTGCCCCAACCCTGGTAGTAATGTATGGAGTTTCCTAAACATTTCTACTCTAAAATAGATAGCTGGAGGTTAAAGTAAAATAGTATAAGGTGTAGCAGTAGCATGCTTATGCAAATTAAGAAAATTAACACCTGTGACCCAAACACTTGAGAGATGGAAGCAGAAGAATTGCTATCAGAAAAGAATCAGCCTGAGCTACAGAGTGACATACTCTACCCCTCCTCCCCCTCTTCCTCCTCCTCCCCCCTCCTCTTCCTCTTCTTTTAGGGCTGCAGCTAGATGTGGTAGAGAATGCTTTTTAAATTTTCTTATTGGCCTGCATGCATGTCTGTGTACCACATGTGTGCTTGGTGCCATTGGAGGGAGGGACAAAGCACCAGCTGCCAGAAGTGGAGTTAGGAATAGTTGTGAACCGGAATTCAACTCTTGTCCTCTGCAAAGAGCAGCCAGGGCCCTTAATCACTGAGCCAGTCCTCTAGCTGCTAGTGGCAAGTAGCTCCCTGAATTCAAGGCCAGCCTAGTCAACATACTTAGTTCCAGGCCAGTTAGTTAGAACTACCCTATCTCAGAAAAAAAAAAAAAGAAAGAAAGAAAGAAAGAAAGAAAGAAAGGAAAAGAAAAGAAAGAAAAAAGAAAAAGAAAAGCTGAGAAAGAAAATTCCCACAGTCTGTGAGTCATGTACTACAAAAGCATAAATGTGGTCTACAGCTCTGTGGAAATCTATAGAGATTATGTCTGAGGGGAGGGCATAATAAAACTTCAAGGTTCTCTCCTTAATACAGTAAGAAGAAGTTGAGCACTAGTGGCAGGTGGATCTCTGAGTTCAAGGCTAGCCTGGTCTACAGAACAAGCTCCAGGACAGCCAGGACTACACAGAGAAACCCTGTCTTGGTCTACATAGTATATATCAGGAAGATAGAACAGGAGTGAGCAGAGAAAATAAACTCTTTAAAGAGAACAGGTTGGTTATTCTTTTATTAACTTAGTAATTACATCTCTTGCTTTTCTTTCAGAAAGAATACATTGGTAGCCAGTTTTCTTTATGATAGGGCAATTCCTACTTAAAGGCAGGAACTTTGTCTCTTCCCAGTCTCAGAATTCTAAAGAAAGGGGACACAGTACATCTTAACCTATTTTTTCCTTCCTAGACCCGAGAGAGAGCAGCTGCCAAGTAGAACAGCTGCCCAGCCTCTTCCCAAAGGACGTGAGAAGCCACAAGGATGTGGTGATAAGAGGTAAGGAAAGGAGACCTTTCTGGAAAAATCCCTTTGCCATCCCAGGATTTTCTTTTTAACCTTAAAAAAAAATGCCTTTTGGGGGCTGGATCGGTGGCTCAAGAGGACCCAGTTTCAATTCCCAGTACCCACATGGCAGCTCACAATTGTCTATTCAAGGGGATATGCATATGCATGCAGGCAAAATACCCATACACATGAAATAAAATAAATTTTTAAAATACCTTTTCTCAAAAAAATGCCTTTTCTCCACATTTCTTAGTCCAGATCTCATTTATTCATTCATATGTGTGTGTATACATATACATATACATATACATATACATATACATATACATATACATATACACATGGTTTTTCAAGACATGGTTTCGGAGCCTGTCCTGGAACTAGCTCTGTAGACCAGGCTGGCCTCGAACTCACAGAGATCCTCCTGCCTCTGCCTCCTGAGTGCTGGGATCAAAGGCCTATGCCACCAACACCCACCTCAAATATACTCTCTTTAAAGATATGTATCTCCTCAGGAGAATGTCTGGGAACAAATTTCTATATTAATTTGTTGCCTATATAAATCAGGTGGGGATGAAGAAAGAGGAGGAATGGCACAGAGCAAACCCTCTATAAGCATTTTTTCTCTGTGCTGGATTTACTGCAGTCGCTTATCTTCATGAGTCCTTGCAGGAAGAAAAGCAGAACCTGCACAGTTACGACCATAAACACAGCCCAGGGAGGAGGTGAACCAAGGAGGGCAAAGTGCAGCTGTGGAGTTTAACAGGCATCACGAAAGAGAGGGTTGCCTGTGCTCACTATGTGACTAAGAACCAGCTTTGTTTTTCTGTTTAGTTCTCACAGAAATTCACACAGACATCCAACATCAGACTATAGCTACCCTGCAGTGCCTCTGCTCTGGGAGGAGAGTGAGGGTCCACCTTGTACACTCAGAGAGAAGGCCGAAGGTCAAGTATATGCTGAAGAACCTGGAAGTCTGTGCTGATCTCCACAGAAACAGCACGGCCTCCCCACACTGTCACCTCGTACCCACTTCCCAGTTTCAGAACGGATCCCTTCTAACAGGTAAAGTGAGATCTAAGAGCTGACAGAGGTAGGTTGACACTCTCAGGTCGCATTCTTGGTGGCCAGTGTTTATTAGCAGCCAAGACCATAATTAAGTGTACTGTTCTCCCCTTGGGGGAAAAAAAATCAGTGTCCTCTCTGGGAACCAGTTTTCTAATTTCCTCAACAAAAAATTTAAAATTTTATTTATATGTTTATTTATTTAGTGTGTATGCACGCACACACATGTGTAGGCATGGATTTGTATGGAGGTTAGAGGAAGCTGAGGATACCTTCGGCAGTCAGACCAAATAGGTTTGGTAGCAAATGCCCTTATCCTCTGTTCCACTTCACTAAGACTCCTTTTAGCCCTAGTGTCCTGTGATATTCATAAGATCTAAACAATTTTTTGAGCCAGGTGGTAATGGCACTCAGAGGCAGGTGGATTTCTGTGAGTTCAAGGCCATCCAGGTCTACAAAGCAAATTCCAGGATAGGTTCTAAAGCTATAGAGAGAAATCCTGTCTCAAAAACAAAACAAAAAAATTTTTGATACAAGTTCTTACTATATATCCTTAGCTGGCCTAGACTGCTTATGTAGACTAGACCTCAAACTTACATTGACCTATTTGCTTCTGCCTCCTGAGCACTGGGAATAAATGCATTTGACACTATGCCTATTGGGTTTTCATTTCTAATGGGTGGGTCTTCTTCCTCTTCTTTTATTTTTGTTTGTTTTTCAAGACAGGGTTTCTCTATGTAATAGCCCTGGCTGTCCCGGAACTCACTCTGTAGACCAGGTTGGCCTCAAACTCACAAAGCTCTTCCTGCCTCTGCCTCCCAAATGCTGGGAGTAAAGGGGTGTGCCACCTCAATAGTGGGTGTGTCTTCTTTTAACAAAAGTTGTAGGTTAGGTGTAGAGAGAAAGTCTTTAATTCCAGTAATGAAGAGGCAGAATATTGAATCCAAGGCCTTGAACATGCTAATAAGCACATGTCCTATTTTTGAGAATATTATATCACCAGCCCTATTTAGTAGTCTACTAAATTGCAATTTATTTCCCTAGTTATCCACTGGTGGGAATTTTGGTTATTTCCATTCTTTTCCTAATACAAACAATGACCTTCTACTGTTCTCTTATGCATCTGCTACTTATCAAGAAAATGAATTCCTTAGCCCCCACACAGGTGGTTCCAATTTCATTCCTAGCTACACAGTGTGAAACTACTTGTTCCCCAACAGCAGTGGTTCTTGATCTCAACTTCTGCCATCCTTTTCTTCTCTTACACATTCTTTCTGTTGAATAGTTTTCTGATCCATAGATTAGTATACAGCTCTCCCTTTGCACAAGGCAGTCGTTTAGACTCTGCTGCTAGACTGTTGGAAAATAACCCGAAATGCTTAGAGAAACAGGGAAGAAGAAGGATCACAAGAAGAATGATGTAGAAATAAACTTTCTTTGTTTTGTTTTTCAAGACACAGTTTCTGTGTGTAGGTATCCTGGGATGTCCAGTAACTAGCTCTGTAGCCCAGGCTGGTGTCAAACTCACAGAGAAGAAATAAACTTTTAAAATCTAGATTAGAGATTGAGAAATAATGGGGGCAAACATTCTCTTGGGATAAGGCCCAAGAACAGTAAATTGTTTATTCTTACATGACTTGAATGTTTCAGTCACTTTATTAGAATTAAAAAGAAAATTCTACCACTAAAAGCCAGGCATGGTGGAGGCACACCTGTAATCCCATTATACAACATTGATTTTGAAGATAGCTTAGGGTATGAGGTCCTGTTTCAAAAAGGAATGAAGATAAGCTAGTTAATTAATTCCATAATAAAACATTGATTTTGAAGACAGCTTGGGATATATGAGTTCCTGGAAAAAAGAGAGAGAGAAGAAGAAGAAAGGGAGAGAGGAAGGAAGGAAAGAAGGAAGGAAGAAAGATTAACTAGTTAATTAATCTCTACAACTGGGAGGGCTCTTAAAACCCAAAAATCACTCAATATCAATTCATTTGGACCTTTTCCTCTTACCATGTGACACCCTGCTTGAACCAACCACAGTACTGGCTTTAAGTCATTTTACAATCTGTACTTCTCTGAGTGGTACTATATCATGCCATGCACCGTGAAACCTGAGGTAAATGAGGACATTGGCTGTCAGAAATTCTGAACCAGGAAAATTGGGGGTTAAGGGAGAGGAAAGTTGCCAAAGATCAGCCTGCCCTGTTGAAAATGTTTGCCTTGGTGTGACCTCTGGGCTTTGAGCTCTTTCCAAGAGGAAGAGTCTTTCTTCCTCCTTCTCCTGGATGCTTGCTCAAGGCAAAAGTTCTGAGATCCAGAATCTGAGGCAGTACCTTATACAATTTGAGTCATGTAAAGAGACCAAATGGGTATCTGTAGATTAGTTTGGATTCTAATCACCATTCACCATGAATTTCTATGAAACCACAAGGACAAATCCCAACCATTTTATAAATGGACCTTTGAAAGGAACTTGTTTTCAGTGTTTGAAGATGCCTGTTCTGAATTTAAACCACATTAAATCAAAAAGTTGTGACAGATCTCAAATAGGTTAGAAATAAAAACTAGAAAAATTGTCAGAATTAGATGGTCACAGAAGACATGCACTCTGAAGTTGCCACTCTGGCTGATGTCAGTCTGCAAAGGAAGGCGTCTAAAATATAATCAAATGACATTAATGAAAATATCCTCAAAGTAAAGTAAGAATGTGGAATTTTCAGGATGAGAACTTTCCACAACACAGTTGGTCCTCACAAGACATAGACCAAACATAAAATATAGGGGGAAAAAAACTAAGACAGTGTCTGAAGCTGTAGCTCAGTTGGTAAGAGTGCATGCCTAAGTGGCTTTTCTCACAGCAATATAAAAGGGACTGGGGCAATCCGTTAATACAGTTTGTATTCCTGGTTCCTAGTGCTCAGATTTTATATTTACAAGCTTTCCAGTTACCCATTAGGTTTCCTAGAGACCTATCTGTTTTCAATAGAACACAAGTGTTTGGTTTGGGTTTTGTCTTTTCAAGACTGGCTCTCAGGCACCCCAACTCACTATGTATTTGAGGATAAGCCTGAACTGCTGAGTTCCTACCTCCACCTCCTGAGTACCAAGATTACAAGTGTGCACCACCACACACAGCTGTTTCATCCATTTGATAAATATTTTCTACTTTGTTTTTTGAAACAGTCTCCCTGTATAGCCTTGGCTGACTTGGAACTCACTTAGTAGACCAAGCTGGACTCAAATTCACCAAGATCCACTTCTGCCTTCAAGTGATAGGATTAAAGGTGTGTCCAACCACATCTGGCAAGTATTTTCTTCTTGTATGACTTTTTTCCTTTCTTCTGTTGGTTTTTTGAGACAGGGTTTCCCTGTGTAGCCTTGGCTGTCCTGGAGCTCACTATGTAGACTAGGCTGCTCTCAAACTCACAGAGATTGACCCAGAAATGGTACCTCTATTTAAATATATATTTTTAAATATTTATTTATTATATGGTATACTGCCTGCATGTACACCTGTACTGCATGCACCAGATCTCATATAGATGGTTGTGAGCCACCCTGTGGTTGCTGGGAATTAAACTCAGGACCTCTTCAAGGGCTCTTAACCACTGAGTCATCTCTCCAGCCCCTAAATATAATGTATTTATCTAGATTTGGTGGCATATGTCTGCAATCCCAGCACTTGGCAAGTAAAGGCAGGAGGACAGGAAGTTTGAAAGCAACCTAGCTATATAAAGAAATACACTCTCAGAAAAAAATAACAATACATAGCTAATTCAAGTTTAACTTGGGCTACATAACAAGATCCTATATCAAAATTCAACCAAACAAAACTTATATTAAATTCATATGAAAATGGATTAAATATAATGTATTTAATGGTCTTTATTTTAAAATTATTTTGTAAAACAGGGCAGTGGTGGTACACACCTTTAATCCCAGCACTCAGGAGGCAGAAGCAGGTGGATGTCTGTGAGTTCAGGACAGCCTGGTCTACAGAGTGAGTTCCAGAACAGATAGGACCCTGTCTCGAAAAACATATGTGTGTGTGTGTGTGTGTGTGTGTATACAGCATCTTTTAGAACTATGAATTATTATTGTCTTTAAGAAGTTCATAAAGTTAGAATTTTAAAAAACAAAACTCCTTTAAGTCTTACTATATGGTCCTCATTTTGCCTAGAATTCTGGCCTTGAACTCATGATTCTGCTCCAGAATACTGGGATTAAAAGTGAGTACCACCATGCCCAGCAAACTGGGATGTTTTTGTGGGTTGTTTTTTGAAGCAGGGTCTCATTCTGTGCCCCTAGGTGGCATGAAACTTTCAAGTAAACCAGGCTGATCTCAACTTGCATTGACTTTCCTGCCTCTGCTTCCAGGTGCTGGAGTTAGAGGTCTATGCCATCATGCCTGCCTTAAATTGGGGCGTTCTTGTTCAAATACCTATAGCCAAAGAAAAACTAATGTTTTAATCCCATAATCAATGGAAATAAGGTACATTCTTTTCTGAGACAGGGCTGTTCTCTATACCACCCAGTCTGTCCTATAACTTGCCTTGAACTCAGAGACCTGCCTGCCTCTGCCTCCTGAGTACTGGGATTAAATGTGGGTACCACCACCACCCAGTAGATATAAAACATATTTTCAAACCTGTTCTATCTTGATGTTCAGTTACGTCAGAGATAAGACCTGAAAGGCATGAGCTGCCAAAACGGATGAACAGTAATTCAGAAAACTGAAAGTACACTGACAGACGAAGCCTATTCAGTAGAATTTGAGGCCATTTCTCAGCAGGTAGGAATACAGGCCATATGTCTCTATGCCATTATCCCTCTGGCTACCAGAGTTCTTCTGTTTAGAGAGACAGTTTCTAGGCTTTCCCCCTCTCAATCCCAGTTCACTTAGCTTGCTAAGTGTTTTCACACCTGCTTTTTCATTTTTGTTTCTTAACCTTAACACCTCTGAGAAATAAATACAACAATTATTTAAAAAAAAAAAGACCATATTACAAACAGGGAAATCAAAACTCAGAAATCATGTAACTTGTCCAAAGTGAGTTTTGCTTATCTTCAAACATGAATTTTACCATTTAAGGGAACTGACTGGAGTCAGGCACAGTGGCTAACACTGTCTCCCAGTTAAACTGAAATCAAGGACCACTGCTCCTCCTGTAATTAGTTGTATGATGACTGGTATTGAATGCTGCCAAAGCCTGATTGTTCCCCTCTACACAACTGTTAAAACTGTCATTCTATTGTTTTCCTTCACATCATGTTCAATATGTCTGCTGATTAACAACAACAAATGGCAATTTAAGGGGATTTAAGATGTGTAAGAGTAATTTAGAGCCAGGTAGTGGTGGCATACACCTTTTAATCTTAGAACTTAGGAGTCAAAGGCAGGATGATCTCTGTGAGTTCAAGGCCAGCCTGGTCTACAGAGCAAGTTCCAGGAAAGCCTGGGCTACACAGAGAAACCTTGATTCAAAAGCAAGCAAGCAAGCAAGCAAACAAACAAAGGAGTAATTTAGAAAAGTAATGGTAAGAAATGATGCAAAATGGAAGATGGCTCCGAAGGTGAAAGTGCTTGCTGCCCAATGATCCAAACCTGACTACTTGAGTTTGAACTCTAGCACCCAAATAAACATAGAACATAGAAGGGAGAACCGCCTTCACAAAGCTGTCCTCTGACTCCCATAGGGACACTCTGGCATGTGCCACCCCCAGTAAATACAATTCCAAATGGAATACAAGACTAGGTTTGGTGGCACACCTATAACCTCAGGAGTTGGGAAGGCAGGAGTCTCACTTCATGTTTGAGGCCAGTCTGGCTATGCGTAGTGAGTTTGATGCTAATATGGGCCACACAGTCACACCATCTTTTAAATAAAAAGGGTGAGGGTTTAGAGAGGCACAGTCACCACAGTCTGAATTGGATTAGGTCCATTCTGTAAGTAGGTGGAGTTGGGTGCAGACTACAGCCAGAATTCATCAGTTCTTCCTCACTTCTGTCCCTAGCTGAATCTCATCACCTCTCATCTGTTGTCTACAAAAATCTCCTCAGGTCATTGTGCCTCTACCCTTGTCCCACAATGGTCCACCTCTAACACAGCAGTCCAGTGAACGGTCAATTAAAATGAAGCTTAGCTGGGCATGGTGGCTCACACCTGCAATCCTAGCACTTAAGAAACTGAAGTAGGACTGCTGTGAGTTGGAGGCCAGGATAGGCTACAGAATAAGACTCTGTCTCAGAAAAAAAAAAAAAGAAAGAAAAAAAAAAGAATAACCCCTCCCCACAAAAGGTCAATCTTGACCAAAACCTTGCAACAGATCCTTAACTCAGAACTTGGCACAAAGAGCCCAAATCCCTGTAGCCTCTCAATCCTCATCCCTCCCTTGCTCCTCCATGCTGGCTACTGGCTGCCTCACAGCTTCCCTACAACTGTAACTTTCAGACAGTCTTTGCACTGGGGGCTTTATTACCACTGCCCCCTCTGTCTAAGTTACTTCCCTCAAGTTTTGGCCTAGTTCTAACCCCAGAGAGGCTTAGCCTAAACTGTAGGTTGCCTAACTATTACCTATGAACTCCTCAAACTACTTTATCTTGCAAGATTTTTTTTGTGTTTGTTTTGTTTGTTTTGAGATAGGGTTTCTCGTGTAGCCCTGGCTGTCCTGGAACTTTCTCTACAGACAAGGCTGGCCTCAAACTCAGGTCCTCCTGCCTCTGCTGGGATTAAAGGCATTCACCACCACTGACTGACTGGTTTGGGTTTTTAAAGATTTATTTTTTTTAAATTTGTATGTGTGTGCCTGCATGTAAATATGCATATCACATATATATGGAAGCCAACAGAGACTAGTAGAGGGCATCGGATCCCCTAGAACTGATGTTATAGGTGCTTATGAGTGGCCTGATGTGGTGCTGGGAACCAAACCCAGGTGCTCTGCAAAAGCAGCAAGTGCTCTTAACCACTAAGCCACCTCTCCCATTCCTGATCTTGGCTTTTAAGACAGAGTCTTATGCAGCTTAGACTGGCTAGAACTAGTTAGTCCAGGATGGCTTTGAATTCCTGGTAATCCTTCAACTCAGCCTCACCAATGCTGGGATTACAGGTATGAATTACCATGACTGCTTCTTGTTCTAGATTGATGGATCCTTCAATGCACTGCCTGACTGACTGATTGATTGGTGTTTTTGAGAGATCTCTCCTTGTGGCTCTGGCTATCCTGGAACTCACTATATAGACCAGGCTGACCTCTGCCTCCTGAGTGCTGGGATCAAAGGCATGTGCCACTATGCCCAGCTCTAGCTTTAGGTTTTTAAGTAGTACTTACCCTAATATATAATAACTTTTGCATTTTTTTTGAAGTGGGGTCCTGCTATTTAGCTTTGGCTAGCTTGGTACTCACTATGTAGCTCAAGTGGGCCTTGAACTCAAGGTTATCTTCCTGCCTCAGCCTCCTGAATGCTGGGACTATAGGCAGGTGCCACTACACCCAGCCATAAAATATATGATAGTCATTGTTGTCCTCTGCTTCCTGTGCCCTGACCTTTTTGTTGGTTCTCTTGTTATTATGAATCCAACTGATATAAAATACTGAAGCAGTGCCTGGCATATAATAGACACTGGGTTTTGAATATGAAATTAATGAAACTGAGGAGAACATGAAGCTGGGTGCCTTTCCATCTTCTAGTTCCTCTTGGTTTCCCCACAGTTTTCTCAGAGGAGTTACCTGGGCTCTGCTGAACAGACCTGCAGCAGTCATTCAGGCAAACGTATTTCATGTTCTTCCCTGGACTTTGAAACCAACTCTATTAATGAATGAAACTCTCAATTGTGTTACACCTTCCACCTTTATTATGATCATGATGACCTCAAGAAGGATAGGCAATCAAGGTATGGTTCCTTTCTTCCCTCTGATTATAGTCAAAGGACTCCTGGGGATTTTATCTGTATTTCTTCTTAGTATCCCTGGCCTCCTTTGTTCCTGGTATCACTCTGTGCCTACCCCTAAAACCTATAAACATACAGGTCAGTGGGGTCACAGAAATGCAGTCTGAAATGAGTAGAGCTAGGATTTCATCAGGTAAAACCAAAGCAGGATGATGTTTTCCCATTGTTGCCTGTCTGTTGCTTCTCTTTTGTTTTATAGCTTTCTTACCAGGGATCTCTCAATGTGAGATCTACCCAGCAAAGGACAGATCTGCTTCATCAGAGACGGTGCCCATCACTACCACCTCCACAACTCCTAGAAGTAAAGGAGAGAAAACTATAAGCACTGGGCAGTTTTCCGGTCCTTTGTCACAAGGTACACACTAAGTAGAGGTGGTAAAGCAAGACTAGGAAGAAAAGGAGACATTTTAGCTACAATATTACTTTAGGTCTCCTAGGAATTTCTTGGAGGCTGCGAAGTCATTTTATATTAAAAAATTATTCCATGTTTTAACAAGGGGAAAAATCCATAAGGAAGTTCCCAGAAACATCTGTAGTTTGGCACAATCAATAATCCTTTAAGAACCATCTTGTAGATACCTTGTAGAGGACTCAGCTTCAGATCCCAGTACCAACACATAAACACCTAGAATTATAATTCCAAAGGATCTGATGCCTTCTGGGGCCTAGGTACCTGAATGCACAAAGTGCACTTAAAATCACAAACAAACAAACAAACAAACACACACACACACACACACACACACAATCTTATTTTTAAGATTATTATTTATTATGTATACAATGTTCTGCCTGCATGTATCCCTGCACACCAAAGAGGGCACCAGATTTCATTACAGATGGTTGTGAGCCACCATGTGGGTACTGGGAATTGAACTCAGAACCTCTGGAGGAGCAGTTAGTGCTCTTAACCTCAGAGTCATCTCTCCAGTCCCCACATGATCTTTAAAACAGTTATCCCTTAACCCATGAAAGTGAACTCACCCTGTAGCCAGATTTGAAAATGAACTAAATTCAACTGGTACATGATACCAGCCACTTGGGTGTGTGTGTGTGTGTGTGTGTGTGTGTGTGTGTGTGTGTGTGTGTGTGTGTGTGTGATAAAGAATGGTACCAGCCAACCATGTGTTTTCATCTTCAGTGTTTTTAAAAATAGCCCTTCCTATATTGGTCAAGACTCAAACTGTGTAAGAATCAAGTTGGGTTATATCCCTCATTCATATCAGTGGAAAAGTAAATGAAATTTAGTAAAAACATAATAGATATGAACCTTCTGCCCTGGATTTGGTTTATGATTCAAAAGCAATGACTATTCACCTTTGTTCTTCCTATGCCCTCCTAAAACAAAGACAGGAAAGTTAATTTTTTTTTTTGAGACAGTGTCTCATTATGTCTCATTATGGAACTCTTTAAATAGATCAGGCTGGCCATGGATTTAGAGATCTCCCTGCCTCTGCCTCCTGAGTGCTAGGATGAAAGGCATGTGCCACCAGGCCTGAAATAAAGGGGATTTTTATGTACTTGTTTGTATTTGCTTTTTTTTTTTTTCCATCAGTGCTAGAGATGGAAGGAGATATGATTTTTGTTTTAAGGTTGGGAACTTCGAGAAGACTGACTGGGAACAATGGGCTAAGCATTCCTTGTGCACCCAAGCCTTTTCTTCTCAAGAACAGTACAAGAATCAGCATGCATGACTATAGAGAACCCCAAATTCTAGGGAAGGTGGCTCATTCATGAAAGAAGCTGGTGAGGAGCCCAATGCTGCCACCCCACCTGATTCTGAGCCCCATGTGGAAATCCAGTCTATCTGAGTCAGCTGTCCCTGGCTAGTTTGAGCAAGAAAGGAGAACTTGCAGTCAAGATGAGCCCTGCTCATGCTCTCTTTTCTTCTCCTCCATTCCTCTTTCCTTTCCGATGTAGATGTGTACTTAAAGAAGAGGCAGAAATGGAGTGTTGTCATCAAAGCTCTGATTGCTGCTACTCTGCTGCTCAGTGGAGTCATCATTATAGTATTTGTCATCTTTGAAGTCCCGTGCCCAGTAAGTTTGCTGATGTATACTGATGAACTGAGTCAATAAAGACTGCTTTCTACTGGAAATACAGCTGAGTGGTTTGTGGAAGATTGCTGGACTTCTCCATTCTATAGCTGCCTTATCTGTAAAATAGATGTGCCTTGGTTTTTGGCTGTGGAAGTTAATGGGGATCCTATTTGAGAGGCACCTGGTATATCAAAGGCACTCTCTTAATGTGAGCTCGTAGGAAGTGTAGTTCTAGTGTCTTCTTAGAGATGAGCATTTTTTTTTCTAGAATCCTAGCACTTGGAAGGTGGGGAGCAGACCAGGAATTCCAGGCTAGCCTTGTCTATATTGCAAAGTTGAGGCCAGTCAGGTTACATGAGAGAAAGAAGAGTAGAAGGGAGGTTGTGTAAGGAAAAGGTATTATTTCTTTTAAATGGTTTGACATTGTATTAGCCACTGAAATGATAACCAGCATTCTCTCTTCAGAGTCCATGCCTCAGAGCCAGAAGGCTGTGCCAATGCCAATGGTTATGGAGAAGGGAAAGGAAGGAAGACCAGCAACCTGGGACAACTGAGTCCCAGTTGAGCTCTCAGCCTGAGAAGGGAAGTATTCTCTATATAGTTTATACCATTCATTTAGACAAAACTATGTTAACCTGTAATTGCTGACTTGTAGCCAAATGCTTCAGTTGTAAAGAAAATGTGATGAATTATTCTGAGAAGAAAAAAAAAAAAAAAAAAAAAAAACTGGCCAGATGTGATACCACACATCTTAACCCCAACACTTAGGAGGCAGCAGTAAAGGCAGGCAGATCACTATGAGTTCAGGCCAGCCTGGTATACATAGTGAGTTCCAGGCTAGCCAAAAAACAAACAAAACAAAGCCAAAACCACATTGTTATTTGGCTGAGTTTGGAAGTATATTCATATAATGCCAGCACAATGGAGGCGGAAGAAATTGACAGATGAAGGCTAGCCTCAGCTTCAGTTACATAGCAAATCTGGGGCTGCCCTGGGCTATGGGAGATACTTTCTAAATAAAAACAAAAACAAATAAAAATAAGAAGAAAGAGAGACATGCGAGGGGTAGGGGAAAAGTTGGGGAGAGAGAAAATATGTGTTCTGGTGTAAGACCCTCAGAATGAGGAGTCTTCCAGGTTCGGTCGATACCCCAAGAACTCAATGTCCAGTCCAGTTGCTGCAAAACGCAAGAGGCTTTAATGAACAGGAAACTTTTGTGCAAACAGGCTCCTCCAGCACGCAGGCTAGAGAGAAGCCCCCTCCCCTGGGCCCAGGTGTTTTTAAAGGCAAACCCACTAGCTTAGGGAGGGGGTGGGACCCTCTGTCAATTGAGTACGTGACCCTTGGAGGCCGGATGGTCTGCTATTAGGGTCAGCAGACCTTAGGGCCTCAGGGTGTGCTAATTAATCTTGTCTGGGCAAACCAGAGTTACAGCTATCTCTTTGTTTCCTAAGGACCCTATTTACCACCTGTTGACTCACAGGAAAGGAGGGGCAGAAAGGAGGGGCAGTGTGAATTCTTGTCATCTCAGGGCCTGGTGAGAGGAAGCTAGCAAATTCCAAGGAACAGATATTGGTTAGCTTTCCAGGTCAGACCATCCTTCATTTAACTTCACTTTTTGGTCTTTCACTGGGACCCAGAAACACTGAATCAGAATGTCTAATGTCTAGAGTGGGACCAGGGACCTTTATTATCATTACTATTAATCAGATGGGTTCTCACTATGTTGACCCAGGATAGCCTTAAATTTTTTACTGCAAGTCATCCTCCTGTCTCAGCTTTCCAAGAACCTTGGACTGCAGGTTTATGCTACTACCCTGCTCATCTTCTTATTAAAAATTTTAATAAGCTCCCTAAGGGGGCTGGAGCGGTGTCTCAGAAGTTAAGAGCAGTTCTTAGCACACATGGTGGCTCCCAACTACATTGTAACTCCTCTTCTGCCCTCCTTGGGTATACATATGGTGTACACACAGGCAAGCAGTCACCTATATATAAAATAAGTTTAAAACAAACCTTGCCTGGTGGCACATGCCTTTAATCCCAGCACTTGGGAGACAGAGGCAGGCTGATCTCTGTGAGTTCCAGGCCAGCCTGGTCTACCGAGCTAGATTCAGGACAGGCTCCAAAGCAAGACAGAGAACCCCTGTCTCAAAACAAACAAACAAACAAACAAGAAAACTTATAAGCAGAGGTGGATTTATTGTGAAATTACTAATACTTCAGGTCTCTGGACCTTGACCAAGGTTTGTATCCCGTGTGTGTGTGTGTGTGTGTGTGTGTGTGTGTGTGTGTGTGTGTGTGTGTGTGTGTGTGTATGCACTTTCTTTTGTTTTGTTTTTTTTCTGAGACAGTTTCTTTGTGTAGTTCTGGCTGTCCTGGGACTTATTCTGTAGACCAGGCTGGCCTGGAACTCAGAAATCCACCTGTCTCAGCTTCCTGAGTGCTGGAATTATAGATGTGTGCCCTTTCTTTAGATAGGTTCCTCCTAACTGTCAGATCTTTAGCATTATAACATGTGTTCACCCTGGGTAATTCTCAGATACAGCAATGTTTAGGATCCACTGCACTTCAACCCAGTTTAAAGACTTGGCAAAGCAACTTCTTTTTCCTTATCTTTGAGTTTCCTGGCAAGATTATAAATAGTACCTTTTGATGTCTGAACTGTCACCAGACTACCTTTAATCCAGACTCCAAGCCGGGTTAGACTTAGCTTACTTAGACTAAGGTAAGCAGACAAGGTTTCCACTGACCTGGTTCAAAGCCTCAGTCCAGGCATCACAGTGAGACTGTCTCAAAAACAAAGTAAACCATCAAAAAAACAGCCACACCCTAGAACTAAACTAAACACAGTATCCATTTTTGTAGAATTATAGCATTGAGAACTGGTTTCAGAGATGATAGAGTAAATGGGTTTGATCACCCAGAACAATCACCAATACATGCACACATGCACACATACACACATACATACATACACACACACACACACACATACACACACACACACAGTGTCTAGGATATTACACATGCTGCTATTCTTTTCAAGCCTTATTAACTATATAGACAGTAACCCAAGAACAGTACCAGCAACAGACTTTCTTATCACAGTACTCTGTCAAGTGAACTTATTTGCCCTCTTAGGGCTAGGTTAGTATTTTCTAATTTTATGAATATGTATTTTGCCTATATGTATGTATGTACATCAAGTTCATGGCTGGTGGCTATAGAGGCCAGACGAGGTGTAAAATCCCTGAAACTAGGATTACAAATGGTTGTGAGCCATCCTGTGGGTTTTGGGTATTAAACCTGGGTCCCCTGGAAAAGCAGCCAGTTCTCTTAACCACTGAGCCATCTCTTCAGTCCTTAGATTAATACTTCCATAATCCTGACTCTTTGAATAGTAGATGGTGGATTAGTATTTTTAGATTTTTACTCCAATCAGCCTCATCATTTCTACTGGACATTAAAAGAAATAAGCTTGGTCAGGTGTGGTGGCACAGATCTTTAATCCCAGCACTTGAGAGGCAGAGGCATGTGGATCTCTATGAGTTCAAGGCCAGCCTGGTCTACATAGTGAGTTCCAGAATGTCCAAAGCTACATAAAGAGATCCTGCCTCAAAATAAACAAATAGACAAAGGCTTGAAAGGGAGCTAAATGGCCTAGTGCTGAATTAAAAATAAACTCATAGCAGCAACAACTGATTGAACTTCTTTCACGAATATAATTGGCTGTAAAAGTGGTGACATATGCCTAAAATCCAGTATTCGAGAGATGGAGGCAGGTGGGTCAGAAGTGTAAGGTGATCCTCAGAAAGTTTGAGGTCAGAGCAGTCAAAACAACTCAGTGGGTAAAGCATTTGACCCGAAAGCCTGATAATCCCAGATCCCTCATGTTGGAAGGAGAGAACTGACTACACAAGTTGTCTTCCTGTCTCCACATGCATGTTGTGACATATGTGCACCTCCCATGCACAAAACATACACATGCAAACACATGGTAATAATAATGAAATAACAGAGGGAGTCTGAGGTCAGCCTGAACTACATGAAATCTTGTTTCAAAAAAATATTAAGGTATCACTAGGTGGCAGTTGCAGTGGCAATGAATGCCTATAATCCTAGTGCTGGGGAGGCAGAAGCAGAGGCAGAGGCAGACAGATTTCTGAGTTTGATAACTGCCTGATCTACAGAGAAAGTTCCAGAACACCTTGGGCTGTACAGAGAAACCCTGTCTCAAAAAACAAACAAAATTATATGTCTGTGTATAAGTATGTATGTATACACACACAGACACAATATCAATTTTACACATTACCTCCTCGTTCCTCACAAAACTCTGGGAGGAAGACAGGACTGGACTCTACAAGTCACAGATGTTAAATTTGAAACTTGAAGAGCATGTGTGATTCTCCTAAGGTCATTCAGAGGAAGCAGAACTAGGATCCATATCTTTTATTTGCTACACTGACATTTATATGTACTGATCATTTATCCATCCCATACAATTTTACTGAAAACCTATGTATCAAGCCTTTGTTTGGGAAGAAAAACCAAGTCTTCCCTGCAAAATACCTTTAGAACTAGGCATTGTGGCACATACCTGCAATCCTAGCATTTTGGGTGTAGAAGCAGGAGGGTCAAGAATTCAAGGCCAGCCTGGGCTACAAGAGGCCTTGTCTCAAAAATAAACAAGGCAAAACAAAACCAAAGTTAGACATGGTGGTGCATGCCTGAAATCCAGCACTTGGAGGCCAAGGCAGGAGGACTGACACAAATTCAAGGCTCGCCTGGTCTAAAAAGTTAAGTTCTAAGCAGACAAGTTTACTTACTGAAATCCCATGTAAAAGGGGTGGGGGTGCCAGAGAGATGGCTCAGTGGTTAAGAGTACTTATTGCTCTTCCAAAGGACCTGGATTTGATTCTTAGCACCCACATGGTGGCCCACAACTGTAACTCTAGTTGCAAGGGTTCCACCACCCTCTTCTGGCCTCTTTAGGCAAAACACCTATAAACAAAATTAAAACAGAATGGTGTTATATTTATAAAAGCTGGACATTCAGAAAATGCATGCAACATTTGATAGGGCATAATTTCAAACACAATAGGGGTGGAACTGGGTTATTTGAAATATTTAAGCCAAGTGTGTGCTAAGGCTTCAAGGATTGGTCTAACTGGGTGATGAGGGAGTGAGAAAAGGACAGACATACAGTCAGGTATAGAGAAAGGCTGGGATCAGCTGGGCTATGCTCATTCTGATGGAGAGAGCACCAACTGCTGCCCAGAATTCTGCTCATTTATTTTATACACCTGAATGAAGGTGGCAGATTTATTGTATATAGCCTAATAAAGAAGTGGGCTCATGGTCTACAACTGAACAAGAAAGTAGGTTTAAGTCATCCCAGTAGGAATTCTCTGGAGGGGAGAAGTCCCAGGCAGCAGCCATCCAGGAGGATGAAGCTGTGGTTTCCAGTTTTTGCACACACCAGACAATCATTTGTAAACACTGGTACTTGGACCAGACGAAGGCTTTGCCATTTCTCTGAGCCTCACCGGGGAATGCTTCCCACCCACTTGGGTCTGAGGCATTGGGGTCATTGACATGGCTGTGCCCATGTTAACGACACACATTCACTCAGGACTCCATCCACTCCCCACAGGTGTGGTGGCACACACCTCTATTCCCAGCACTTGGGTGATGGAGACAGGAGGAGCAAGAGTTCAAGGCCTTCTCCACTACAAAGTGAGGCAGCTTGATATACAAGAGACATTGTTTCAAAGATAAATATTCAGTCAGACCCTAAGATCTCTTTCTAAATCCTCTTCAAAACATAACGAGATCCTTTGGGTTTGATTCAAGGAATGAAATGGAATTCCTGTGCATATGGGATCCAGAGTAGTAGCACACTCAGGGCCTTTTCCATTCCAGAAAACCTGGTCAAGAAGACATGGGAAATGGGCACTCAGCTCATGAGCATGGTGTTCATGTATTCTCAGAACAACTCTTAGGCAGCAAAGAGGCAAGCTCAGGTGTACTCAATTTAAATGGGGTTTTCTTCTCAGCCTTTCCTTCCTTGCTAATTCGGTTCATTTGCACACTTACTTACCTTTCACATATCCTTTCCATCTCTAGGTTGGACAAGATGTTTCTAACTCTGCAGACTCAAAGAAAACCACAGGGCTGACTATAATCCACCAGCCATACTTCTGGGTTCTGCTTTGCCTCACTCTGAATGCAAGTGCTGTCATCTCCTTATTGCAAATCATTACAGGATGACTCTTGAAGCCCTTACACTCAAATCTTCACAGGGACTATAATCAAACGATATTCCAGGACAGTGAAGGAAGGCCCTGGGTTGATAAATCTACCTTTATGCCACTGCAACTGACACAGACAAGCCTCTGTGATTCACTTTGTACATCCATAAAAATGGTTCTTTCTATCCCAGCAAATGAAGATGAAGTCCCTGCCTTACTGCTTTCTCCTAGGAAAGACAAAACATGGCCTCCAAAGGAGTAGAGCCAACAGTGTAGCACACATTCCTCCTACTCCATTGCCCTCCCAGCTGTCTTCATGCTCACTGGCTATCAACTAGCTTATTCCAGGGATCTGCCTTCCCGGGTTTACGGTTTAATGATTTAGCATTGTCACTACACATAGTTATCAACAACCTGATAAAGGGAACCCAGCCTTAAGCATTCCAAAGGCTCTTCTAATAAATCATTCCCAAAGAGTTTCAGGACAGCAGGAAATTAGCATTCAAACGAAATTGGAAAATTCAGAATTCCTGAAGGATATCTGATATTATGCTTTTTCTTTTTTTCTTTTCTGGTACTGTGGTTTGGACCAAGGTCCTCACACTGCAAGTGCTATGCCACTGAGATATATATTAAGCCCTTTTTGTAAAAGTAACTTTTATTTTGAGGTAGGTTCTCACAGGGTTACCCAGGGTCTGGAACTCTCTGCATGGGCCTTGGACTTTAAATTCTCTTGCTTCAGCCTCCAAGAGGGGCTGGCAATGCAAGTGTGCACCACCAGGCCTGGGTATGCCTTACTTAATTTTTAAATTTTTTGAGACAAGTTTTTATGTAAGTAGCCCAGACTGACCTCCAACTTGCTACGTAGCTGAGGATCATCTTGAACTCCAGACCTTCCTGCCTCTTCCTCCTGGGTAGGCAGTATTTTACCAATGAGTTGCATATGGTTTTGATAAGGACTCTAGAACAAATGATTATGATAATGACCCCACTCACAGGGGCACAGCCATAAGTAGAGTCTGACCTGCTTTCAGTGAGAAAGCAGAACTAGGGCCTGAAGCATCTGACATAGTCAATGGCTTCCTGCTTCTTTCCCACGACTGTGAAACCATTCCAACTGCCGGATGTTCCACCTTCCTCCGTGTGCATTTTACTCCATATATAAATATATATTACATGTAGCCCAGGCTAGCATCACACATCCCAGGATGACTTTCAGCTCATGATCCTCCTGTCCACTTCCCATGCACTGGAATTACAGGCGTGTGTCACCAGGCCTGGCAAGTGATTCTGTTTTCTTAGATCTCTGAGGGAACTGTACACAAAGTATAACCTTCCTCCTTTCACATCAAGTACTGTTCCCAACAGAAATCTTGAAAGTACACTAACTAAGCAGGGGGACAAGCTAAGCCAAGAGGAAAGGACAGACACAAAACAATGGTGATTCAAAGTTTCCCAGAAGAGCTGAAGAACCTTTCAAAATTCCACAGAACATGGTTTCAGCACACAGCAGACAGGGGACAAAAGACTACGTGAGGCATTGGATGTGAGAGTGGATCATTTGCGCCCTACTGATGACTCAAAACACTGCCTCAAGTTTATCCGGACACCTGCTACTTTGCTTGACCATATACTTGAGCAAAAAAGTAACTGTTCATTCCCAGGTCTACTAGGGGAAGTTATTTAAAAAGTTTCTATTTGATTCTAGGATTAATGCCAGCATCCATCCCTGTCCTCATCTACAACAGAATGTCCTATAACCTGGAACTGAGAGATTTCCTAGAAGATGAAAGCCATGATTGAGTCTGTGCTCTTCTGCAAGAGTGAAATTGGGGTAACACCTGTACTGACTTTCTTCACAGAAACTGACAAAATCAAAATTATGCGTTTTGTCTAGAGACTGTTGTTTTCCCTGACAAAAGCAAGAATCTTCTGAGCATTTCCCCACTCTCTAATCAGTCAACAGTTTCCAATCCCTTCCCCAGTGGAGGGAGGATTTTTGAAACTAGGAGGTGAGAGAAGAAGAGGAGGAGGAGGAGGAGAGGGGGACCTCATGCCTGGACTTTGGGATGTGGACTTCAGTCTGCAGGTTGCTCCAGAGTCAGATACAAATGCTCAGGTCATCATTCTGGATCACATTCTATAAAACACTTCAGTGCAACTGCCAATGAATAGTCTGCCAAGAGTCTACTGCAAATTCTTTCTCATTAAAGTATCATATTTTGCTTCCCTAATTGCTGAAGTGCATTCGTTATCAAAATTTATATCAAACATTGGAAAATTTAAAGGAATATAAGAGTAAAAGTTATATTTAATCTTCCACAGGTAACCAATAACACTGATACTTCTTTTATAGGCATAATAAATATAGGTGCCTATGCTAAGAGACATAATTACATAGCATAACACTCTCCATGCTACTTTTAAATTGATGACCTTTTTTCCACTAACACATTACTGTCATATTTCTAATTGGCACATTAATTTCCTTATGTTTATTTTCAGTGTTAAAGGGAGCTAGAACTCTTTCTTTTTGAAAGGTCTGTATGACCCTGACATCTTTTGTTTTGCTAGACAAAGATTCATGTAGCCCAGCAAGCTCTGAGTTTATATAGCTAAAGACGATCTTGAACTTTCTCTCTCTCTCTAGCTCCTAAGACTAGGATTGTAAGTGTGAACCACCCTACCTGGCTAATGTCCCAATACAATACTTTTTCCCCTCTCTCTCACTCTGTGGCTTAGGCTGGTTGGAACTTACTATGTATGCTATACTGTCATGATCCTCTTGCCTCAACTTCCCAAGGGCTGAGATTATAGGCATGAACCACCAGATCAGCTTCCCAGTACATTTGGATAGGTCCAAAGATTAAGGCAGATAGTTGCTTGGTGCAAACAAGACAGGTTCACAAAAACCTCCACTTTGAACTTTTGAAGCTATTGCTTAATGACTGAGTAAATAGCAGTATTTATGGGGTGTTAAGAGGATTACTATGAAGCCAGGCATGATGGTTCATACCTGTAATCCTAGCACCCCAACAACTAAGGCAAGAAGACTGCCATTAATTCCTCCAGGCCAGCATGGACTACATAATGAGTTCTCTGTCAGTCTTGGCTACAGAGTAAGACCTTGTCTCTTTTATTTTATTTTATTTTTTTACTTTAAGAGAGAGTAATGGAAGCCGGACATTGGTGGCACATGCCTTTGATCCCAGCACTGGGGAGGCAGAGGCAGGCGGATCTCTGTGAGTTTGAGGACAGGCTCCAAAGCAATACAGAGAAACCCTGTCTCAAAAAACAAAGGGGGGGAGGGAATATAAACAACCAAAAGCAGAAATGGGAACTACTATGGAGAAGAAAGAGGTCAGTGGGGTAAAAGAATAAGATTCAAGAATACTTACATATGAAAATGTCATAACGAAACCCATTTTTTTGTTTGCTAAGCAAAATAATAGAAAATAAAAAGGGCTACTAGGAAGGTTCTTTCCCCTAAATGCACATTATTTTGTTAAATAATAAAATTATAAAAATATAAAGGGCTACAAACACTACTACTCTCCCAGCTGAACTGAGTTTGAGTCCTAGCACCCAAAACCAGGCAGCTCATAACCATCTGGTATTCTAGTTCCAAGGGATCTAACGCCCTCTTCTGGCTTCCACTGGTACACCCACATGTGGCATACAGATCCACCCCGCCATACACATAAACTAAAATAACAAAAAATAAATCTAAAAAATCAACACTTAAAACATGCAGCATATATATATATGTATATATGTCTCCATTTTTAGATTTATTTAATGTGCACATGTATTTTGTCTTCCAGTATGTATATGCACCATGTCTGGATGTCTGGTGTCTTCGGTGGCCAGCTGTCATGGGAGTGCTGGAAACTGAACTCTATATGAGCAACAAGTGCTCTTTGCTGCAGCTCACCAGTCTCCATTTCCTTTATTATTATTTTTTTTTAAGATATATCAAAACTTACCAAGCTGGTTTGGTGCCACCTACTTGTAATCCCCCTACTCAGGCAACTGAGGTAGGAGACTTGACATGATTTTGAAGCCAACCTGAACTACATAATGAGCTCAAAAATAGCCCATGCTACATAGAGAGAAAACAAACAAACAAAAAATGAAACCGATGCAAGGTTCTGGATATCTGGAACTTCTAAGCAAACATTAACATTCTTCCTTTCCTGTACCCTAAAAATATGCAAGGGTGCACTTAGGAGCAACAGCAACCCTAACCACTCTCTAATCTGGCTTCTGATTTTGGATGTTCCTTAAACACTGGCTCAGAGGTTAAGAGCACTGGCTGCTCTTCCAGAGGTTCTGAGTTCAATTCCCAGCACACACATGGTGGTTCATACCTTTCTGTAACTCTAGTTCTGGGAGATCAGACACCTTCACACAGACATACCTGCAGGCAAAAAAAGCCAATGAGCATAAATAAAAACAAAACAAAACAAAACACACACACACACACACACACACACACACACACACACACACACACACACTACTCAACAGATTCTGACCTAAAGGGTTTCTCCAGTGTTTAGACTCAGCTATTTTCCAAGAGTTACTTATGACAAGGAGTCACAAACCCTTCACACATTGACGTAATTTGCCTAGCACAGGTTAAGAGTCTATGATCCCTCCCCTCCCCTCCCACTCTCAGAATTTCATTCCTGAGTTCACACAATGGTCCTCATATTGTCTTGAAGACTTGCTAGTTCTCTTATCAAATGTACTTCCTGGTTCTTGTCCTCGAATGAATTTGTGTGTGTGTGTGTGTGTGTGTGTGTGTGTGTGTGTGTGTGTGTGTGTGTGTTGTGTTTAATGTCTTTTTGAGACAGGCTTTCTCTGTGTGTAGCTCTGGCTGTCCTGGAACTTTTGACCAGGCTGGCCTTGAACTCACAGAGATCTGCCTGCCTCTGCCCCCCAAGTGCTGAGATTAAAGGTGTGAGGCAGCACCATTGTATATCTTTATATTGTTTTGTATTAGTAAAAGTATCATATTAGTAGTAAACACTCAAATATTGTGTTGATGTCCCATCACTGAATGGATGGT